CGCGCGCCTGGGTTACACAGTGAGCTCATGACTAGGCTGAACCTGGCTCAAAAGCACAAAAATTTAACAAAAGAACTCAAGTTTACCATTTTCAGCTAGCACTACATTTCTAAGTAAATATCCCTTCATTTCTAGTTACCATACATAATAAGAGGCGGCTCTCATCTCCTATTCCCCGCGGGACGGGGTCCCCCCAGAGAGCCGCAACCATAAGTTTGAGGCCTGCCTGGGTTACACAGTGAGCTCATGACTAGGCTGAACCTGGCTCAAAAGCACAAAAATTTAACAAAAGAACTCAAGTTTACCATTTTCAGCTAGCACTACATTTCTAAGTAAATATCCCTTCATTTCTAGATTTACCATACATTTAAAAATTTTACTATACATTTTAATATGACAAGCCCTAGTATAGATCCCGGGAGATCCTGTATCTCCCATTTCTTTGTTATTAATTTAATTAGTTTTGGGCTCAGCAACAACCTGAATGAATTAGGATTCACAATTTTGAAAATTATCTGAGCAAGCCATAACACAGCTACATGACCTCTGGGTTAGTTGTCCAGCCTATGCATTCGCTATTACTTCCTTCTGTTCTGGGTTCTTTGTGCTCTGGCATCTGGGGTCTGAGCAGAAAGGCACTATCCCTAGCAGGGTTAGCTAATTCCTAGACATAGCAAATGGCTCTCCTGATCAGGCAGCATGCATTTCCTGTGCAAACCAATCAGTTCAGAGCCTCCAGTTCTTGTATTAGGCTTTTATACTCCAGGCCAATATTCTCCTATTCTGATCACCCAAGGACCATGTACCAGAAAATGAGGGACAGCTCTTATGCCTCAGAGCTCAACGACATTATTTAGACTATCCAATCCTAAGTCTGTTTATTCTGTCTTGCCAATAGAAACTACCGTAAAAACCTGTGCCCATGCTTTTCCCTTGTTTTGCCTCTGTCCAACCCTGGTGCTTCTCTGTGTAGCCTGCAAAATGTGCATTGGATTTGGTTGTTTCTTATAGTTCAAGGGCCTCATGCATGCTATGCAAACGATCTGTCACTGAGTTACACCCCCTAACCTTGCATTAGTTTTTCTAGAATAATTAGTATTTTACAAGTCAGTTAAGCCCTCTTTAAGACATGGATTACAGACTACTGTTCTCAATTACAGTCATCCCAACTTGTGGGCCACATCATGACATACGTCCCTCAAAGTTCACGTTAGTCTTGACCCTGTGTGGGGTAATGGGAGATGGGGGTCTACAGGAAGTATTTATGAGGGCACTGACCTTGTGAGTAGATTAATATTCTTATTGAGCGAGTGGATTCACCCTCTTTTGCTCTCATGTTCTCTATCCCCTTCTGATATGTGATGAAGATCACAAGTTCAAGTCCAGCCTGGGCAACTTAGTGGTTTAGGAAGAAACTGAGAATAAAAATGTTTTAAAAGGCTGAAATGTAGCTCAATGAAGGCCCTGGGCTCAATCCCCAGTCCTGAAAAACAAAAAAACAAAACTAGTTTCCTATAATCTTATTCCCAAAATATATTTTGGTGTATATTACTTTAGACTTTTTTTCTATGCATGAAGCTTTTTAAAAAATAGATCAGACTATACACAGAAATGTTTAACCCCTTGTATTTTTCTCTTATCAACATGTCTTAGATATTTTAGAGTCATACTCACCATAATTAACAAAGTTCTTTGAAGGCAAGCTATGTTAAGCTTTTATGAAACACCACAAGTAATTGATTCAGTTCTTGAATGATTACATTGTAATGATTCCTATGTAATTATAGGTTATACATTTCAGCCAATAATAGGACAATTTTGCCCTAAAATTTCTGTATCACCCTTAGATGGATACTGTGATTCATTTACATTTCTAACTATATCTAACATTACTCTGTATACTACTTACTTTAATAACTTTGGCCCCAGTATTTTATTTTTATTCTTTTAAATTGAGTTTATTGGTACGTTTTAGGTATACAGTGCAGTTACATTCATTATTGGGATCTTGTACCTTTACATGACAGGTCTTGGTTCTCATTTTTCCCCTTGTCCCTGCCCTCCTTTCATGGTCCCAGTATTTTAAAAGAGTAAGTTGAAAATGACTCTCAGATAAACAGAAGAAAAATAGTTAATTGATTTTATTATGTCCCCACTCACTCAGACGAACAGTCCAGTCAGCTCCCAACAGTACTGCCCTGCCAGGTTGCATAAATAATGCAAGTAAATGTAAACAGTAGTTGGTTATATTTTTTTCATGAGTACTATGCTTGGGTATATCTGTGTATAAGGAAATTCCAGTCATATCAGATTCTCCATCTCACAACCCTGAGCTTTTGCATTATGTAAAAGAAATTTATTTAATACATTTTATCACTTCCAAGATTTCACATTTCCAGCTATGCTTATCTGTGTCTAGACATAAGTAAACAAAATAATGATATGAGCAAAAGTGTCATGCATGTTAGTGTATTGATTTAGTAAAGCTTTAATTCAAATTATCATTTTACGGTATTCATAGTTTGTGATCCAAGTTGAAAACATTCCATCCTTATCTGATGAGCCAAAGACAATTAAAAGCCCAATTCTTTGTTTTAAATAGAATCAATATCAACTGATTTATATTTTTGTTTCACACATTTAACATTCTATATCACGTGCAATGTTTGAATCACCTTAATACAGAAAATAAAACATTAATTTTCAGTGAATGTGAAAAGCTACACTAGTGTGGACAAATAGACTATTCTATTTGAAATCAAGACAGCGGATAAGTTGGGTGTGGTGGTGCATATTTATAATCCCAGAACTCTGGGAGGGTGAGGCAGGAGGGTGAGCCTAGCTTAGACAATTTAGTGATTTAGTAAAATCCTGTCTCAAGGTAATAGATTAGGGATATAGCTCAATGCTTAGGCCCTGGGTTCCAACCCCAGAACTGCCCCCTGCAAAAGGAAAACACGAGAGAGGGAGGAAGATAGGGTCAGTGGTCAATGTTTAGTTAGCCGGAAATAAGTGCAAGTATTTGTGTGTTAAAAAATAAGAATGTTTTACATCCTATCTACATTTATAGATAGCTACCATCAAATATGTAAGCTCTGAGTATATACTGTACTAATGGTATTCTATTGGCTGAAAAGCTTTCTTTTAAAATTTCACCTAGATTAATGAACTTTTTTTTTGTACTGGGGATTGAATTTGGGCCCTTGTGCTTGTGAGGCAGGCGGCAGAACCACTAAGCCAAATCCCTGGTCCCTAGATCAGTGAAATTTAAAAAATACTTTATTTTTTAAGATTGGATTTACAGAAAAAATGAAAAGTCTCCCACTATGTCCTCTTCCAGTTTCTCATTATTAACATCTTATACAGGTATACCACATTTGCTACAATGAATGAATGAATATCGATATACTATTAAGGGAAGTCCATGGTTTATCCAGGCTTCTTTAGTTTCCACCTAATGTGTTTTTGCTGTTCATGTGATTTTTAAAAATGGTCAGTGTGGCTATGCCACCACTCTGGGAGGCTGAACTAGGAGGATTATAAATTCCAGCACAGCCTATACAATTTATTTACTTAGTGAGAACTTGTCTCAAAATTTAAAATAAAAAGGGCTGGGGATGTAGCTCGATGTGATTCAAAACCCAGTACTGCAAAAGGAAAAAAAGTTGGCTTTTAAAAACATAGAGCTAAGTTGGGGATGCAGTGGCAAAGTTCTTGCCTAGTATGTATATGTGTGGCCCTGGGTTTAAACCCCAGGGTGGTGGTCAAGGTTAAAGGGGCAAGGAAGTAAAAGAATTAAAAATGAGAAAGATATGTTATATACATGTATCAATTCCCTCAAATGAGAAGCACTATTCTGTTATAAATATGCACTAGAAAAAAATAAAAACTAAGAGGTAGATAACATAAAATCACTTTAATAAACTTTGCCAAGAAAGTGTGTTATGAATAAAAATTACTATAACATAAAGTCAGATGAAAATACATAAATAACATGTAGCTAGTTCAATTCCATCTAAATATGTGGTAAAATATGTGGTTGTTTACATGTGAGTACATATGTTACTCAAGGTTATCTATATTTTCAAAACATATTGTCATATTTTACCTACCAAGTAATAAGTATTCTGTAGGATTTTTCTAGCTTTTGAGTAAAAATAAACCATCTTAGATTTAGAAAATTTTTAACAGGCAATCTTTCTCTAAGAATCCTCTCCTGAGTAGTAGTTCTTAAATTTTAGTAGGTATCAGATCTGTCAGGGTACTCAAACAGATTCCTGGGTGTCATCCCCAGCAGTTTCAGAGGTCTGGGTTGGGGCCAGCATGTCCACTACTCTAACAAGTGCCTAGGTGATGCTGTGGCCCTGAGCCACAGTGTGAAAACCACTGCTTCACAGACAAGGAAACTGCATTTCTACCTTATTAACTAGTTACAGAATCTTATTAAGTCAGTATGGTTATCCTTTCATAAGCGGAGAAACTTGGAGCTTAGAGGCACTGAGGAGCTCACCTGATGAGACAATGGTATTAGACAGCAGAGCTACAATTCAGATCTCCTTCCAATTCTAATGTCCATGTTCTTTCTAGCACAACAACACATTGTACTGCTTCTTGCAGATAAAAGGAGTAAAATATGTGCATCCTGGTCTTGCTTATTTGCAAAGAGAATGTCCCTAAAGATGTGACTCGTTCAGTTCAGTAGGGGGTTAACAAAAGGACAATGACTCACTGAAAACTAGATTATGGAGAGGACTCACTTATACAGTATCTAAACTTCTACAATAATTAAGGTTGCAATGAATTGACTGTATACTAACAAAACAGAAAGAAATCAATTAATAGAGTAATGAATATTCTTTAATTGCTATTATTTTGTTATTCCTTATAGAAAACACAGATTTAAATAAAAGTTCTTGAAAGAATAGTCTTATTTAAATTTAAAGCATCATACTATTCTAAATGCCTGCCAGTGTAAATCACACCACTAATCAACTACTACTTACTCTGGTATTGAAATTATACAGTGTGATAGTCTTCAACAAAATGCTCTAATCATTACTGTTTATCCCCTTTCACAAAGCAAATCAAAAGCACTGATATAAAACACAACAAAATAAGCAATTTAAGTTTTAAGAAAAGTGGTACATTAACATGGTAAATACACTGCCAAAAATAAAGTTGCCAATAACAAATTTCTGCCAACTGTTCTATTGTATATAAAAGAGGACAGAGACACAAAATTACTGGACTACACACTTAAAATAATTAATGAAGCCATAATTAAAGAATGACAGGAAAAAGTAACCAATTCTTCATCTCTGTCAATACAGAGACACAAAATTACTGGACTACACACTTAAAATAATTAATGAAGCCATAATTAAAGAATGACAGGAAAAAGTAACCAATTCTTCATCTCTGTCAATACAAATATTTTATATAAGAAAGTCCCTTTTAAATATTTATATACATATTACTATGTAATACTGTCAATCAAACCTATAGTTCTATTTATTTAAATAAGAATTAAATAAATTACCCAAAATGCTGATTTTCATATCACAAAGCCTAAGTATTTTAAATCAAAAATTTTGAGTGTGTATTGAATATACTGGTTCCTCAGACAACATTAACAAGCAAATTTTTAAGAATAAATTTTTATCTATAGATCAGGTAAAGCTTTATTAAATGGTAAACGCTTTTAACAGTGCAGAAAGGGAAGGTTCAAGAACAAACACATTCAAAAGATCTGCTGTTCAAATAGTATTTTTTCAAAACCAGGTGGAGGAGTATGATAAAATTCACTGAACTGGCAATCCAAAATTGCACTGTCATCAACTACAGGATAGAAAAAGAGAGAAAATAAATTAGAAGCAAAGATCTTAATTTGAATGAATACATAATTATAAAGTTAACTGTTTTCAGGCTATGTATGAGTGCATGCTTAGTATGTGTGGAACACTGGATCTCATCCTGAGCACCACAACAAAATTTTTAAAATAAACTTTTCCGAAAACCGTAACATTAATAAGCAAGAAGAATAATCTTATCCGCTGCCTGGATTACAAAATGTATTAGGTAAAAACATCTACAACAAAAACCAAAATTTATCAAAAACACTGGAAAGACAGTAGTCAAAAAATTATTAATAATTATCTGCACACCCATATTCCCAGCTTCAGGAGGCTTGAGACAGAAGACTCTCTTGAGCCCAGGAGTTCGAGACTAGCCTAGGTAATGTCTCTTAAGTACAAAAAGTAATAATATCTCTAGATGGTGGAAATACAGATGACTTTATTTTTAATTTGCCTATCTGTACTTCCTCAATATTATACAATTAAGATGTCTAACTAATGATGTATTTTGAAAAAGTTATAGATTATAGATAGTTGCAAACATTCAATAGGGAGTCCTATGTATCCTTTATGGTGGTAATATCTTATATGACTATAGTACAACATCCAAACAAGGAAGCTGATATTGTTGATATACTACTGTAAATGAAACTACAGGCCTAATTCATCTTCTACATGTTTTTACTAGGATTTGCTCAAGAAAAATGAGTGTGTATATTCATATAAAGACTTATATACATATAATTGAGGCTGGCCTTGAACTCACTATATAGCCTGGGTAGCCTTAAATTCGGAGCAATCTTCCTGCCTCAGCCTCCCAAGTGCTAGGATTATAGGCATGCACCACCATGCCATGCTTAGTCATTTTTTCCCCCGTACTAGGAATTGAACTCAGAACCTTGAGCTTGTGAAGCAGATGTGGTGCCATTGAGCTAAATCCCTGGCCCAGTCATGACTTTTTAATAACACTTCATCAGTGTTATGCAGTTTTTTCTCTCCATGGATTGAGTTTAAGAACAGAATGAATGAATAAGTGGCTTCTTCTAGGAATAGGGATGGGATAGAGGACAAAGGATAAGGAAGTTAGGTTTTAGTTTTATTTTAGTACATGCTACTAAAGTTTCTGGTTTAAATGGATTGATTTATCAAATTAAATTTATGAAAAAATATAATTCATCACATACAATTTACTATCTATAAATTTGCTCCATTAAAAGCAATGCTAAATAAAAGAAGTGCTTTAGAATAATTTTATTTTGTACACTCATTTGCATAACTCAATCATTCTATGGACAGTTATTTAATTTCTTAGGCTAAGCTATTTAATATACAAAAGTACATTTTCATTTATTTAAGTAAGCAAAGGAATTACTTTTAGGCTTCTCTGCTAGGGAACAACACTAAGAAAATTGAGTTTAAAACACACTTTTACATGTAAAGACACAAAAAGTAATTGCTAGCTCAAGTCTAGCCTGGCAAGTTAGTAAAGGCTTATTTTAAACTTTATAAAAGTTTAAAAAAGGGATGGCAATATAGTTCAGTGGTAGAGTGTCTAGTGTTGTGGAGCCCTGTTTTAATCCCCAGTAAGGCCAAAAAAGATTTTCACAGCAATTTTAAGAGGAAAGATTAATGAAAACCCCAACTAAAAAGTTAATCACAAGCTTTGGTTATCATATTATTAAATATTTATATTTGTAATTGCACACTATTCTGACATCCTAGTCTGTTATTACTAACACTCGTATCTTTATTGTAAAGTACCACAAAAAATATTAGTCTTCATTATGACCCAAATACAAGATGCAAAATATTTTAAAATGACTAAAACCACCAGCAGAAAAATCATACTTACTGATTTAAAATTGATAACAAAAATAAAGCAGAATAGAGTGATAAAGGCATTTTGACTATGTTTGGTTTTGTTTACAAGATACACAGAGTTGGCATATTGGCACATGCCTATTATCCCAGTTACTCAGGAGGCTGCATCAGATCAATTATAAATTTGAAGCCAGCCAGAGCAATTTAGCAAGATGCTGTCTCAAAATAAAAAAAGGGCTAGGGATGTAGTGCAGCACACTAAGTTGAGTTTCCAGTACCACCAAGAAAAATAAAAAAAAATATATATATACATATATAAATATATATTTATATACATATATATACATATATAAATATATATTTATATACATATATATACATATATCTTACTTCTTAGAGATAAATATAACATTTATGAACAAAATGATACAATGTCTGGCATTTGCCTCAAAACAACATAAAGAGGGGAGACAAAAAAGTGTTGTGGATAGATGAAACCTAATAGGCCTATAAGATAATCATTGTTTGAAGCTGGGTAGTGGGCATATGAGAGTGCATTATACTATTCTTTTCTGTACATGTTTGAAATTTTCTATAATAAAATTTAAGGTAGTTAAGTGGTGTAGAATCATCTCTTAAGTAACTAACCGGTTGGAGGGGCACACCTATCACAAATGATAGCACTTATGGCTACCAAAAGCAAAACAATACAAAATTATTCTACATTACAATTTCTTTCAGAAGTGTGCTATCATTTAGGCAATTTTATAAAGGTAGTAAATGCTCAACCTACATAAAATTCCTATCCCTTTACATTTCTTGGTCATTTAATTCTTCTTAATGTATGGCAGAAAAATCTTCATAAATTCAGTAAAAATCTTTACTGAATGCCAGGGATTTAGCTCAGTGGCACAGTACCTGCCTCGCAAGTACGAAGTCCTGAGTTTGATTCCCCAATACTGGGAAAAAAAATCTTTACTGAACAGAAGAATACAGGATGAATAAGAGAATATAGGTATCGCATACTTAAATGCAGTCACTGTTTAGCGAGTTTTTTTGTTTTATTTTTAACATATGGGAAATAAATAGTGGTACTTTGGTTCACAAACGATTCTTTCCATGATTCTGGTCGCAAACCAAGAACCAAGTCAAATTCAATAGTTAGGCTCAATGTTGACCTAATGGGGAGATTTGATTCAGTTTTCACCCAATTTGGTTTGCAATCAGAATTGTGGAAATAATTAAGTTCATACACTAAGGTACCACTGTATTATTTTTAATTCTGCAAAAAGGGAATGGAACAGACTACTGAGCACATTCAATACACATAAAAAGGTACTTATTAACTTGTCCAGACTTAGGAATAACTTATACAATTAATGTATCTATATGACTTATACAATTAATATACAATTATAAAATTAACATAAATGCCAAACAAAAGTTAACATATATCTAATAATATATGAAAAATATTTTAGCTTACCATAAACAACTGGATACACTGTCCCTCGTATACCTGATGCTGGACAATGCATATTTTTTCCATTCAAATATACATTTAATTCTACATGGTCATATGTAATACCCTATGAAGGAAAGAAAAGTTAGAAAAGATAAAAAATATAAATGTTCTATAATTACCTCAACAGCCAGAAATCAATGATTGAGAAGCAAAGAAACACAAAAAACTTAGCAGAAGGTTACAGTTGTTTCATTAAGGGCTTACAGTTTGGCATAATTCTACTAGAACTCAGTTTAAAATATCAGTAGTGGCCAAGGGCACTAGTGCATGCCTAATGTCAGCACTTTGAGAGAGTGAAGTAGGAGGATCTCAAGATTGAGCCCATCGTGGGCAACCTAGCAATTTAGTGAGACACTGTCTCAAAATTAAAAATGTGAAAGGGCTGGAGATATAGCTGAGTGTGAAGACCCTGCATTCAAGTCTTAATACCACCCCCCAACACACAAAGTAGTGATTATTTTGGGAAAAAGATCAGGTAACACCTCCAAAGTTCAAAATACAGATTCTAGTTTGAATTAAAGGTGATATAAATGCTACATACAATGAACATAGAGACTTTACTAAATCCCTGATCTGAACATAGAGATTTTTAAAACTCATTAAGAAAACACTGCTCTCTATGTAGGATTTGATCTTAAGAGGGGAAAGCAGGTTTCACTATTAGCTTAGTGCATACATGTCACTTTTCTCAACTTGTGAAGAAATATCTTTGTACAACTTATTTTGAAAAAGAAATCATACATTTCTGAATCACTTTACTCTGGCCTCAAATAGGTAAAGTATTTTACAAAGGTAAAGCTAATATTTACAATTAAATGTGACTGTTAGCTAGTGTTAAAAAATAGACAACAGCGCCAAAGATTTCAAACAAAACATGGTAAAATATTACTTTATATACCATTGATGGTAAGAAAAATCACAATTAGTATTAATTATTATTAAAATGCTAAAAAGGAATGACTGGCCCTGTTACAAACCAAGCAATATTCTAGGTGCTTCTATTTACTCATATAATCCTCACAAGACAGATATTAACCCCATTTTACAAATGAGGTAGCTAGAGTACAGAAAGGTTAAGTAATTTACCTAAGGTTGTACAACTAGAAAGTAGCAGAGCTGAGGTTTAAACCAATTTATGTTGTCTTCAGAACACTTGTTCTTAATCTGAAATCTGAAATGTTCCAAATTCTGAAACTTCTTGAGTGTTGACATGATGCCACAAGAAGGAAATTCCACACCAGACCTCAAAACACAAGTACACTAAAAAATGTTGTACAGATTACCTTTAGGCTGTGTGTATTTCATGTTTCGGATTGGGTACTATCCTTAAAATATCTCATTAAGTATATGCAGAATATTCCAATATCCCAAACAGCCTGAAATCAGAAATACTTCTGGTCCCAAGCATTTCAGATAAGGGATACCAACAAGACATCTTTCCTTTAAAGAATTAAGCATAAATACCAGAGATATTCAATCATCAGAGACCAAGAAGCCAATCACCTCAAGGATTTCTGAGCTGAATCAATATATCAAATGCTTTTCAGTGATACAAAAAGAGTTTATAGATCTTCTAGTCTTTTGGGGTATGGGGCACTGGGCATTAAACTCAGGGTCTTCACACCTGAGTTATATCACCAGCTTCCCTCACTTTTTGAGACAAGGTCCTTGTTATGGTTTCTATCTAGATGTTACCTTAAAGCCTCATGAGCTCATAGGTTGGGGTTTTGGAGGTGACTAGATCAATGATATGTGGCACTGGATTAGTCCACTGATGGATTTATAGCTGGGTGTGATACTAGGGGGTAGGTAAAGTCTGGTGGGAAGAGGTGGGTCACTGGGGGCATGGCCTGGTACTTATTAATAAGTATATATATATCCCTCCTCCCTCGATCCTTTCTTTACTTTCTAATAGCTGTGCCATGAACTGCTTCTCCTCTGCCATGCCATCCTGCCCCGGAAACAGCCAACTATGGAATGAAATCTCTATGAGCTGTGAGCCAAAGTAAACCTCTTCTCCTTTAACTTGTAGGTGTCAGGTATTTTGTCCCAGCAATGAAAAAGTAACTAAGACAGTCTTGCTATGTTGCTAAATTGCTCAGACTGGGCTCAAACTTATGATTCAGCCTCCCAGAATGCTAGGATTACAGGCGCGTACCACCACGCCATGCCTAAAGGCTTTACAACTTTAGCTCTTACATTTAGGTCTATGACCCATGATTCTTTTTTTATTTTTTAGCAGAACTAGGTATTTAACCCAGGGCTTCTGCACTGAGCTACATCGACAGCCCTTTTACAATTTTTTGAAATTTTGAGACAGAGTCCCTTAACTCACTAAATTGCCCAGTTTTGGCTGGAACTCTCATCCTTCATGCCTCAGCCTCCCAGGGTGCTGTGTTAACAGGTGTGTGCCCCCACCATATAGTCTTAATCCCCCTCTTTCCAGATACGAGAGCAAAGGTCCAGAAAAATCAAGTTAGTAAGTACTACGAAGAATTCTCTTTAAATTTTAGCAAAGCCAGAGTTAGATCACATAATAATTTATTACATAGTTAGGGGACATTGAGAAAGATAAATAGTATGCGGATAATCTTTTAGTATATATTTAAACATAATAGTGAAAAATCTAACTGATGCCTACAATTAGTTTTTTAATGAAGAGGTCTCTTTTCATTAAAAACAAAAAAAAGCATACATAATCCCATGAAAAAGAAAGTATGTCACTCTATAGGACTGCAGGAAATCTAGTAGCTCAGAAAAGTAGTTTGTAAACCAGGCACCCTTCACCACCCAGTGGCAGAACAATCTATTGCAATTATTCTCATAATTTATTTTATTTTTCCAATGCCACTGTCAACAATTTGGCAAAATTTGTTCTCATGTGTTTGAGCTAAAAAGAAAAAGTTAATACATAGGACAATGTTTTACTTTTCTAATTCTGCATATAGTTCACATTTTTAGTTTTCATGGACCCCTCCTATCTCTCAGGAGCTATTCCTATTCTCCAATAAACCTTTTCTACTCTTAACTGTTTTGTCCTTTGAAATTCATTCTTTGATTTCATGGGACATGAACTGGCACTTCTGACTTCTATTTCTCCTATGCCATTTTGGAGACCCCAGCAAAATAACTGGAAGGAGATAAAAGAGCTTTCTTTTGTTCCATGGCATCCCTAAATATTTTGACTGGATTATGATTTATTTTAGGTAATCAAAAATTGTCATCTTTTGTTTGTCAGTTTCTTGACTTTTTGTTAAAATGATACCAATTATTGATAAACTCATGATTAGTAAATATTTTTATGATTTCCAAAGATGCAAAGTGAAAGAACATCTTATCATAATGTTGACTTTCGATTGCTTCTTGGCCTTTTGGCTAAGATCAAATGGTGACTTCCAGGTTGAAGTTGGTTATGATGATAAACTTTTTTAGGCTCAAGCACCTGGTTTTCCCTTCCTCATGTTCCAGCTACATGTAATGAAATGTGCATGCCAGTCCAATATGTGACAGCCAGCCAGATGAAACAGATAAATAAGCTTGTGCTTCTGTGATTATTATGTAATTGTGTTATAACAGTTTAGTGTAAAAATGTTTAGAACCTAAACATTGTGCAGTCCCAACAATGCTACTCTAATGACTAGAAATTAGGCATTAATAATTTGTAGAGTACATCTATAAACAAGTCCATTCTACTTAAATGTCACTTTGGTAACAGATTAAAAGATTAAAAATTAGGTAAAAGTTTCTTTATGTATATTTTGTAATTAGATAAGGGTAACTGACTAAAAAGTAATTTTGTACTAAAATGGAGATTTAAATGTGTTTGAGAGAAAATGTCATTATGATTGTCATACTAAAATGTTACATTGCCCTTGATCTCAAGTTTTCTCTGTAGAACTTTATAATGATTATATGTTAGCATTCTGTAGGGATTCAAGTTCTAAGACAACCATGATTGGTATAGAAATAACAGTTAATTGGCTAAACTATATATTTCAAGGTGCTCAGTATCTAGATAAGATCATAACATTAAACCCACTGCTCTCACTATAATACTGCTGTAACTGATCTTCTCTTCGGGGTGTTCAACAACTGAAGCTTAGAGATGAGAACTAGAGAGATGACTGGGCTAAAAGGACAGACAATATTTTGGCCTTGGCCCTCCAAGGTCAACATGGACACAGGACATGAGGGGACCTTTCCACAAGGTCCTACAACTTTGTTGAGTAATCCAACCTCCAAGCAGGGAAACTGCTGAGCCCCACAGAACAAGAATCAACCATGGATAGTGTCCAAAAAAGGAGGGTAACCAAGGAGGGAAAAGTCTACCATGCTTTCACAGGAAGCAACATGGTCAAGCAAGACTGTGACCCATCCTAGAAGCTGACACGGACAGAGGAGCTAAGAGGCTCTGTAGATGGTTTAAAAAGTAATGCCTGAGGGCCGGGGATTTGGCTCAGTGGTTCCACTGCCTGCCTTGCAAGCACAAGTTTCCGAGTCCAATCCCCGGTACAAAAAAAAAAAAAGTAATGCCTGAGGAGACTTAAATGACCTTAATAACGGTGAGAGGTTAATATTGATGATACAAGTCTTACTTTAACTTGGTCTTAAACACCCAGCAAAAAGTATAACCAAAAGATGCATAAAAGTAATACTGTAGCAATAAAAGCTAGATATAGAAAGGGGGTTCCAATCACTGACCGCTGCTGTCAGTTTCCAGCTATACCTGTAGCTGACCAATGTTAAGTTCAAAGAGGCTAAAAAGCTATAACATACAATATAGTTATAAAAGCTCAAGAGTCTTTGAATTCTTTAGCTAAAACTGTCCTTCAAAATCACTGAACTTTCCATCTGTTTATAGCTAAAGCCAGAGGGACTTGTGACAAAGAAAATATTTGATTTACAATCTCCATCAGTAGAGAGGTCTAGGAGAAAGCTGGTACAACTGCTATTCCAATTCTTTAAAAGCAGTGTCTGGATCTTTCCATTCTAGTGCTCATGCTGACTTTCAGTACTTTAAATTCTTGGAAAAATCTGTTTATTCTTGCCTACTGCCTATTAAATTCCAAATGATTATGCAGATGGAACCAACCAACAACAAATGTGCCTCCCTTTACCAGGATCCACTAGATCGACCTTATAGAGGGAGTTCATAACTGCTAAACTGCAACATGACTTCTATCCAAGTTTAGTTCTCTGGAGACGGTCCCTGACTGTGGACTCCCCTATTATAAACTTTCTTAGCTCAAAGCAACTAGACTGACACTTCACTCCATTCTTCCCTAAGCAAAATCAGGGGTACTTTTTCAGAAGGGCTAATGTTATAGGGAGCTAAGTTAAGATAAAAATTATTATAGTCAGAAAGGAACTGGGCTCTCAAGGAAGTCAGTAAAAAATACAGATATCAGAGTGGCTGGAGGTGCGTCTGAAGAAGGTAAGGTCTCAAAATAAAGTCACAATGGCCCAACTTACATACTTCCCTAAGGGATAAGCAGAACTGTAATTAGTAGTATCCAGTCCATTAAGTTCAGATCTGCATCAGACACCTGGATGGGTGACCAGAGTACCTGGACCGATCCCTTCCCCAAATGTTCCTGCTTTAGAAGTCACAGATAGGCCAAAGTTAATGATATCAGCTATATCCACTTGCTACATGCCCACTTCCCTCTTGGATCAATATTAGCTAAGCAGCTATACTTGTTAGCTTATTGGTTGATTATAATTTGACCCATGTTGTACTCACATTTGTGATAAATTACCTCTGACAAAGGACCTCAGCAACCCACTTTTGGGACCCCTCTTGTCTCTCAGGAACTATTTCTCAATAAACCTTTGCTACTTTTAAAAATAAATAAATAAATAAATAAATAAGACATTCTTAAATCTTTCAGAAACACACAGAAATTCAGTACACCAACAAAGGAAAACATTCGCTACTGACTAGTCTTCATTATGTTTTAATTTCATCTTTTAGTGTAAAAAGGCTGACAACCTCAACCATACTTTAAGATTCTCTTTTAAGAAATAACTACTAGAATAAGGATTATCCATATTTTAGATATCTGGCGATGATCTATAAACATAGAATAATTCTGTGAGAAATCTTAGAAAAGCAGATTTTAAAAAGGATTTATACCTTTTCTCTCCTTTTCTTTAGCTAATCTAGATAAAACAAATATAACTATTAAAATTATTTTCCTTATTTTTTTAAGTGGCAGGAAAGAGAAAATCAGGCCATAATTAAAAATTTAATTCCCACAAGGCATAGTGGTATACATCTATAATCCCAACTACTTAGCAGGCTAAGGCAGGAGGATCATAAGTTTGAGGCTATACAGGACAAGTTGACCCTGTCTCAAAATAAAATTTTTAAGAGTGGTGATGTAGCTTAGCACTCTTTAGGTTTAATTCCAGTACCACCAAAACCATATAAACAACAACAACAACCACAACACCCTTAATCCCCACACCTTTATTCAATCTTTTATAACACTGCACATTCCTTTAATAAAAAAGCCTGATTTGTCTGGTCTGGGTGTTTTACTACTGGAAAACTTCACTTTGATATCAGAGATCTTGGAACCCAAGGTTTTGTGCACAAGAGCTTCCTGGCTAAAGGAAACTCCAGTACTCTGTTCTTAATCAACAGCTAAAGTCTGGACTTTGTGTATAAGATTCTTGAATAATATGGGAAGACAAGAAGTGTCTAGGAAAGACAGAAAAGGGTTTTGTACTGTATTTTCCATGGTGGCTTTGGTATAAAGTTAAATATATTCCAGTGGAAAAAAAAATATAATACATTACTATCTTAATAACATTTTACTCTCAAAAAGTCTTTTTAAAATCAAGCCTTTGAATTTTGAGTCCATTCCTTTGAATAATTCTGAAGTGAGGAAGTTCAATTAGACTAAGTTTAATAAAGACCAGCATTTTGGGTAAAATGATGTTCTAACAGACATTTATAACAAATGATCTCTTAGAGATCTCCAGCCACAAAAATATCTATTTTCTAATATGAAGCCAGTGGACTTTTAAAGTAGGTCAAGGTTTCTCTCGTGTGAAAGAGCTAAGAAATACTGCTCAACAGCTCACTTGTCACGATTCTCCTGAGAGGAAGGATATAAGGGCACACCCTGATGTCCCGGGCTGTAGCAGCTCTACAAGAGCACCTACATAAACTGCTCTCTCAGGAAACTGTACCACCTCATTAGATTTAATCCCAGGGCTGTAGAATCCAAACTATAAACTCCCAGGAAAAACTGCATCTACTCAGAAGCTGCTCAAATTTAATTATTTGTGGTGAACATGAACTTCATCAAGAGACTCACCACCACATCTCCCTCCTGTGGAAGGATGTTTGCTGGTAGCCTAGCTTTCTCTTCATTGTTGTGATACAAGGCTCCATCGTTTCTCATCACAAGACTGTGCATGTCTCGGCCAAGAGGAATCCGATTCAGGTTAACCTTCTGAGTTGCAACACCAATACCCCAGATTCCTGAAAATACAATAGTTTACATGCCCCCAAAATCTGAAGGACACATATATAAAGGAGTTATTTTAAAGGGTACAAACTGTTTTTAAAAGAAGTATCATATCAGTAAACTACTTTCTGTTATTTTTTTTTTTAAAAATCTCTTAAAAGGAATTTGCAAAGTGTACTATGTTTTCTATAGATGAAGTGCAACCTAGGAGATAAGACAGTGGGTTCTAGAGTTGTACTGCTGAGGTTTATATCCAGAATTAGCTATATTATCCTGGGTGAATCACTTCTCCCTGTTTTCTCATCTGTGAACTGTAGTATGGTCTAAAAGTACTCACCCTCTAAGGGTTAGGAAAAGATACAAGATAATCCAAGTAAAGCATTTGGAAGAATATTTTTTTAAATCAGGTAAGTAAAGCACATTTAAGTATTCAGTAATGCTAGCTATTATCATTATTCCTTTCTTTTCTGAGACAAGGGTCTTGCTATGTACCTCAGTCTGGCAGTGATCTTTCTGCCTCAGTCTCCTGAATGCTGGGATTACAGGTGTGCATCACCATGCCCAGCTATCATTATTATTTTTTTTTTTAGTACCAGGGATCGAACTCAGGCCCTTGAGCTTTCAAGGCAGGTGGTGAAACCACTGAGCTAAACCCCAACCCTATTATTATTTTTGTAAAATATTTTTTAAAAACGTTACAGGGCTGGTTAGAGTGCTTGCTTGGCATAAGGAAGGCCCTGGTTAGCTCTCTAGCCCTGGAAAAAAATAAAAGCTATACTGTATATTGCATTTAAGTGGCTTGGAGTTTCAAAGCTCTACCTCTACCTGGGTATTACCATGTTCAGCTAATATATGTCATGAACAATATCACAGAGAGGAGAAAATTAGTGATATATATATATATATATATA